CTGTGACTTGTCCCAAGATGCAGCCTTCCAGGAAGGACTGGCCAACGCTCTAGGGCAGAGGGGAGGGTCAGAGCCTCAGGGTGCTTGCCTGGGCCTGGTGGACAGGACCTCCCGTGAACACGTTAGACGCTGGCCCCTCCCTGTCACCTGGACTGGCTGCCTCACAGGAGAGCTGACGCCTGTCCAGGGGCCTTCCCCGCTGGCCCGGAGTCCAGCCTCGCCAGGAGCCAGGCTGAACGCAGAGGAAATCCACTTGGAGCAGCTGGGGCGGGGGGAGGGAGGGAGCCTGTGCTAATTCCTCTTCAGACACCACTGAAGGGTCAGCGCGGGAGTGGCAGGCCAGCAGGGAAATCCTGTTAGCTCTTTGCTCAGCTCTCAGCAAGGGCATGTGTCAGGGGCTCCAGACACAGCTGCTCGAGGGCTTCCTGGGGACAGCAGGCGTGAGGATGAGCAGGGGGCACTCTTGGAGGGCAGGTGGCAGACCCCCTGGGCATGTGCTGCCTGCACCATGCTGGGCAGTCCAAGGGAGGGGCTGCCAGGCCTGGGAGGCCCTGTGTGCCGGGAGGCGCGTGGGCAAGCACCTTCCTTCTGGGCCTGAGTCCCTGTGTGCAAAATTGGAGGGGCCAGGGGCTGAGGCAGGGGCACCCAAGCCTGCCTGGGACCCTCCTTTGTTTTGGAAAGTCCTCTAGCTGCTGAGCTAGCCTGGAGTTAAGTTGAGCCAAGCAGCCTGGGGGCTTCCCAGGAGGACCCCAGTGCAGTGGGCGGTGAAGAGAGCCGATGCCTACCCACCTCGGAGCCTGGTTTTCCTCTTGGTAAAATGGAGCCGATATCACATCGATCCCTGGCATGAGGAACAAGGGACCAGCGCTCAGAGGACAGGGGTACCAAGCGTGGGCCCCTCGGGGTCAGAACTTCCTGTAGCTCCTGTTCCACTTCCCTAACAATTGGGCTCTTCCAGACGGGGGCCGCCCAGCCTTTGGAGGCTCCTCGCCAGACACCCAGATCGCCCTGCACGGTGTCCTCCTGGGCCCACTTGGACAGCCTCTGTGGCCCTCGCAGGAGGCCGGCCCTTCCATCTCCTGCAGACCTGACCCGACCTCCAGGCACTAATGGAGCTCGGGAGCACTGGGGGCATCTTTGCACCACTGGCTCCTTTTCCTCTCTGGTCTCGTGGTTGGGTCCCTGGTCTGCCCTGGGCAGGACCTGGTCCTCAGGGCACCTGGGTGCCAGTACATGAGGCCTGGGGCGGGGCCGTGCTGTGGCCTACCCCGTGCTGTCTGCTCCCCCTCTGTGGCCATCCCTGGTGTTTGTGGGGTCCTAGGGTCTGGGGCGCCATCCCGGGCGACCTCACCATTCAGCCGTGTTGGCACGCGATCACCGTGAACACAAGCCAAGCGGCGTCTGTGTCAGCTTTTAAAACCACCGGAATGAGCTCACTTGTCGTGCTGTGGTCCAAATATTTTGGCCATTTAGATGCAACCTTCTGTGCTTGTGAAATTAAGTGTGTTATTAATCTCTCCTGGCCCCGTGACAGGGTGGGCAGAGCGGGTACATCTCCTCGCAGCAAGGGGAGGGTGCACACAGTCCTGTTGGAGGAAGTGGATGCGGGTGTTCGAGGACATCACTGACGGAGTTGAGCTGGCCTGGGGGGAGGGACAGCTGGCCGGTGGGGGCTGGAGCCCATCACACCGAGGAGGGCAGGAGGAGCGGGTTCCAGAGGCATGGCCTCGGCTTCCGGATGCCTCAAGGGATGACGTGGGGTGGGGGCTTCTGCAGGGAGCCTCGAGGCAGAGTTACATGGTGACAGGGCCATCGGGCTGAGCTGGGGTCAGGCTCCCGATGGATTCCAGACTGGACTTTGTGGTCAGCCCTATTTTTTAAAATAAAGAGTCTTTGTAGAAAATGAGGAAAAGCAGGAAGTGGGGTGTGAAAGTGCCTGTTTCCAGAACTCTCTGAGGCAGCCCTCGGGGCAGGCAGGCATTTCTTCCCGATTCTCGCGTGTGTATCTGGGATTGGGATCCCGCTGTAGGAACTGTTAGCTGCCTTCATCTCCCTGCTGGTGTATCATTTTGAGCACACACTTGCAAGGGCACCTGAGCCTGGGGAGAGGACACACTGCCCTGTGGTCAGCCTGCAGCAGGACCGCCGGATCCAGGCTCCTGAGTGGCTCTACGGCCCTGGAAGGGACTGGGCTGGGGTGGCCAGGAGACAGCATGCTCTTTGCCCAGGGCTCTTCTGAACCTGGGGAACGGGAGCCTGGTGGCTGGCTGCCAAGTTCCAGGGCTCATGGCCGGCCAGCTCCTCCACACCACGGACCCCAGGAGCAGGCCGCATGGAGCAGGGGCAGCAGCTGTCCTAGGGGCTCTCGGCTCATCCCTCTGCTCGGTGGTGACCCCAAGTGTGGTTGGCAGGCACTCTCTGCTGATGGCCCTGCAGCACCCCAGCAGCAGGAGCCTCTGTCCACCCCGGTGGGCTCCGAATGGCTCCCCAAGCCCACTAAGTACAGACTTCTTAAAAGCTGAGACCAGAGGCCAGGAGTTGTGAGGAGCTCCTGAGGACCGTTCAGATCCCAAGGGCATCCTGAAGGACCTGCCCCTGCCCAGAAGCCCTGGTGCCCTGCGGTGGGGTTGAGTCTGTGATCACCAGGATGATCTCGATGTGCCTGCCCACATGGCTTCAACTTGGCAGTGCTGGGCCTGGGCTGGGAAAGTCTCCCTTTCACTAACTTCCAGACCCTCCCTGGAGCATCTCCGTGGGCGTTGGGGCTGAGAAGTCACCCTGGGGAATTTCCACCAGCCGGGCCTGAGACGCTGTGAACTGCTGTGCTCTGTGCTGTCCTTGGCACTCCTTGGGCAGGCTCCAGAGGTTCTACTTCACCTGTCCACAGGAGAGAGCCAGCCCAGCCCCACCTCAGTGGAAACTGAGGCCTGAGGGGCACAGGCTGGCAGAGAGGACACAGGCTGTGATCCGGCCCCTGAGCCCCAGGTCCCCCTCCCCTCACTGGCCTGGATTTATTGATGGGTGGTGAAGCTGGAAAAGACCAAGTAGGGAGTGACCACGCTTTTAAACACCCCCAACAGGAGACCTCGAGCCTCAGCCACGCTGCCAGAGCCAGGGAGCAGCCGCTCCAGGGACGCACCGCTGGGAGGGATCTGGGGCTGCCCTTTGCCGCGGCCATGGCAGGGGTGACCTGGGCCTTTGGCTCCCTCTCCCAAACACCCAGAGCCCTCAAGCTGTTTTTAAAGCCACGAGGCAGGAGACACAGGTCTGGTACACTGGGATGCCTTCCAGGTTTGGTGGACCTGAGGTCCAGCAGTGCCATGGGGGCAGGGCTTACTGGCCAGGTGTTGGGGCCCCCAAGCAGCCTTCCTCCCACCCTTGCGCTCCTGGGGAAAGGGCTGGTCATGAAGCCCCTGTGAAGTCCACTGGCCCTGGACAGTTGTGTAGGCTTGGACCTGAGCCCCCTTGGGCCTGTGTCCTTCATCGTCTCTCAGTGTGCATCACCCCTGAGGAAGGGCTGCTGCAGGCTTTGTGGGAGAAGCAGAGGGTGCCTGAGGCCCAGGGGTGCTCTGGCCAACAAAGGCCCAGCAGGGGTCATAGACCCCTCAAGTTGTGGAAATTTGCTGGGGGGGGGCTGACTGGAGCCTCATATCTGGGCACTTTGAAGCAGGTGGGCAGGCTGCTGGAGGAGGGGGTACCCCCAAGGCTGGGCTCAAGGGCTCAGGACAGTGCTAGGACACTGCTGCTTCCAATCAGCAGAAGATCTGCCCAAGGTAGAGAGCCAAGGCCAGGCCCCAAATCCCAGGCGTCTGTGCTCCTGCTGGAGGACCTCGCGTCCAGGGTTGTCCCTCCCTTCCCTGTGCCTTAGCTTAGAAGAGGCTTTACTTGGGGGGGACCCTCATGGTGGGAGAAACAAAGGCCAGCTGTCCCCACTATTGGCCTGTGGACTGGGTTACCGGCAGGGGGGTGTTGTCTGTCTTGTCTTCTGGGGGTTGGTGGGAAAGGGCCTGGGTGCAGGGTAAGGGATTCCTGAAGATTTTCTCTGTGCCCCTTTCCTTGTGGGCTCTTTCCAGAGCAAATCCCAAAAGTCTTCCGCATGGGTCTTGCACCTGGTTGCAAGGGCTTTGATCCCTGGGGCCACAGACTCTTTGGCCGACAGGTAAACAGAGGCCCTTGGAGGAAACCACCTTTTGTGTTGGGTATAGAAGGTCTGAGCATGTGACCTGGGGAAGAGAGCCAGACCCTTCAGAGCCATGTCCCCCTGGCTCAGCGAGCACTCCGAGTTCCCGAGTCCCATAACCTGCCCAGTGGGGAGTGGATAGCTGGGGATCCCAGCCCTTGCCCACAGCCACCACGTGCTGCATGTCTGTGTGTTGGTGGTAGGTAGGGGCGTGGCACAGGAGAGGAGCAACCCTTGGGACCAGGTGCTAGCCTGGGGAGGGGCGGCTGTGGGCAGGGCTGGGTGAGCAGGAGGAAGATGACTCAGGGGAAGGAGGGCTGGGCGAGCACTGGACTTCATCCTTAGGGCCATGGCAGCAGGGGTGGGCTTGGAAGCTGGGAGTGTCGGGGGCGGGGATGGAGGCTGCCTCCCTGGGCCGGGCAGAGGCAGGGACAGGAGGCCAGTGGCAGGGTGGGGCCTGGACCTTTAGGGCCCTATTACACTCAGCCTCCCAGGGCTTGGACCTGGCCCCGGGCCTGCACTGTGAGGCTGGCAACCTTGCCAGGCTGAGCCTCGACCTGGAGCCCCGCCAGGCCCTCCTGGGACCCAGGATAATGTGTGCTGGCCTGTCTTCACCCCACTCACGGGCTCTGTGGGAGCAGAGCTGCAGTTTTCAGCACAGTGTTTTCTGATGCTGGCGCCAAGGAGCATCCGGCAAACTCCGGGGGCCTCTCCCCATTCTTCACTGCGGAACGACGCCTCTTTATGGCCACTATCAATAACCGCTCCCCACCCCTGGCCGCCGCAGTGGCCACATATATAATATTTAAACCACGTTGGGGATGACGGAGATGGACGGATATTTTTAATCCCAACAGACTATTACGGTTCATATCATGTCTGTCAAATAAATATTATGAATCATTTCCCGTTATCTTTATGGGGGCCAGCTGACGACATGGGGGGTTGGCGCAGAAGTCTTCCACCTCTTATACATATGCGTGTGAACAGAGGGAGAATTATGAAGCAATTGTCGATAATAAATGCCCCCGATAAAGCACATTATCTTGTCCCTTGATGGGTGGCGTGTGGAGAGGGGCACGGTGCAGAGAGCGAGGGAGAAGGTGCCAGCCTCAAAGTCAAGCGCGGCTGGAACCGGTGCCCCCAGTTGGCAGTCTCAGCCTGGGCTCTTCCCAACGCCTGGGATACCTTGGCCTCTGGTTTCCTGTTGTCATAGTCTCATTTCATGTCCAAAAGCCTCTGTGGTTAACTGGCTCTTTTCTCCTGTTTTACGAAGAAGCCACTGAAGTTCAGAGAGGACGCTTGCCCAAGGGCCGTGACACAGTTGGTGGTAGAGCCTGACTCTGGCCTCCTCCCCAGGTATCTCTCCCAGCACCCTGTTTTCCCGTTCTGTCGCCTGTCCCTTCTGCCTGAACTCCAGTCTTACCTGGCACGGGCTGCCCTGGCTCACCTGCCCATATACGAGGAGAAGCAGGTGGTGCAGGAGATTTTAGAGGTTGGGGTGCAAGGTTGGTGGTTGTGTGGAGTCCTCCCGAGGGCTCTGACCGTTGGCTTGCGACCACAGCACGGGGGCCACTGTGTGACCTGAAGTCAGTTCTTGTTCCTCTCTGCCTCTGTGTCTCCTTCTGTAAAGTGGGGAAAAGGAGCCTGTTGAGGGGGTTTGGGGATGGCGTCTCGCAGCTGCGGCAGGCCAGCCCAGGAGGCCCCCAGGAACCACCCGGTGTCCTCCCCCACTCTCTGAACCGCCCTTCCTGGCCTTCTGTGAGTCTGCTGGTGAGCTGGGTTTCGGCAGGAGTGTCTCCTCAGTTCTTTGGAGATCCTTGCTGGCCCCTCCTGGCTCTTTCCCAGAGCCGCCCAGAGTCCCCATCCTTCACACACCAGCCCTGTTCCCTACACTTGCTGCACCTGGAAACAGGGCCCACCCGAGAGGGAGGTAGCTGCTGGGCCTCTGGGGCCCCTCCTACTTCGCCCTCTCCTCCTCTGCAATGGTTTGGGGGTGGAGGCCAGCCAACGGGCATGGCGTCGTCCTGCAGGGCTGCAAAGGTTTCACTTAGGCCCTGACCCGGGGCAGAAAGGGTCTTCTCCCCTCCTCTCCTCTTCTCCCTCCCCCAAGCAGAACAGGCGGAATCTGAGTGTGGACGGCAGCCTTCCCATCTCCCCCATCTGTGGAGAAATGCAACATGACTTATCAAAGGGGTGGGGGCTGGAGCCCTGGGTCCTAGCCCCCAGCTCCATCCGGCCTTGCTGGGTAACCTCAGGCAAGGCCCTCGCTGCTCTGAACTTTACCTGCCATTTCCTAGCTTGGGTCATCTGTCACCACAGACAGAAAGCATTACGCCCAACACAGCCACAGGGGAGTGGGAAAGGGCCCCTCAGGGAAGCTGTTTGGAGACAGAGGCAGACCATCTGGCCAGGAGCCCCTGGCCTGCCTTGTTTGGGGACCCAGCACCCCGACCCCATGAGGCTCCGCCAGTTACCAGCTCAGGATCACATGGACCCTCCCTTGGGGAAGGAACTGGAGGTGACCCAGCACCCTGTGGGGTCCTTGGGACTTCTGGAACACCAGCCCTGCACCCCATGCCAGCTCCAGGGCGCCCAGCGGCACAGACTTTAAAGACATTATTCACCAAGTGATTCCTGAGACTGTTTACAAGGCTGAGCTGAGGCGGGCACATGGAACAGGCCAAGGTGCCTTAAAAAGCCCCAAATAAAAACAAAAAACAAAACTCTCTTAGACGGCAGGTTGTAAATAGGTGGATACAACTATAAAAATATTTTTGGCTTCGGAGGCACCTGGTAGGTTTTTCCATGGTTAGTTTGGACCTGGCTACTCCCAAAGGGCAGCCACTGTTCCCGGAGGGTTTGTGTGGGATCATTAGCACCCAAGAGTGCAAACTGGGAGGAGAGAGGGAAATAGTGGCTGCAGAAACAACCAGCAGCCCTGTCATGCCCACACCTGTGTCTGGTGGGGCCCCCTCCAGCAGCCAGCTCGGGCTCCCTGGGCACCACGATCCCTGTGCTCTGGTCAGGGAAGGCGAGGCTGTGGACACCAGGGTTGACTTTGAACCCCGCCTGCAGGGTGCTGGGCCTTGCGGACTCCCCACTCTTCATGGGCTCCTGGGAGCAGCAGGCCCCTCTGGACCTCAGCCTTCCCTGGGCCATGAGTAGCCTGCTGGTTTCCAGCTGGTTTTCCAGCAGCAAGGGGTGAGGCTGGGGGAGGGGTGCAGTGGGAGCAGGAGCACAGTCAGAAGGTGGCCTCAGATGCTGTAGCCCAGCCTTGGAGGCCTCTGGGACCAGCTTTCCCACAACTCTCTGGCATGTTCCAACCTGCGGCTGGCCAGGCTTGCTGTTCACGGCTCTGATCCTCCTCCAGGCCACTGCCCCGCCACCCTGGGGTGCCTCGACCGACAAACACACCCCTCCTTCAAAACCCAACTCAAGGACCAACCATCAGAAAGCCATGGGACCCCTGGCTTATGGACCTTGCCCTCCTGCCACTGTCCCTAGTGCTTCCTATCTGCTCCAACCACGGCTTTTGTGGGTGTCCCTGTCCTTCCAGGCCATGGCTGTGGCTCCCAGGAGAGTGAGTTGCCCAGCCCATCCCATAACAGTAATAAAACAGCTGCCGTCTGTGGAGCTCCTCCTCTGTGCCAGTGTCCCTGCACGGCCTGTTTAGCCAACCCAGTGACTCAGGGAGAGGGCGGGGCAGTCCCCACTTACAGATGAGGAAACTGAGGTGCAGAGGTCACGTGGCTGGTGAGAGCCAGACCTAGGGTCTGACCCTGCCTCACCCATCGTGGCTACACCTCCTCTGAGTGCCCGACGTCAGGCCTCTGTGTGGGTTCTGCAGATATTTGGAAAACAGGATCATTCACATTCTTCTTCTCCCCACCCCAGACCCATCCTCGTCCCTTCCGTGGGGGTGAGCTGTGCACAGTCCAGAGCCCACAGGCCGTGGCAGGAAGGCAATGCTGTATTGCTGGTCACCCTGTGAGGACAGTGTGAGGCCTATACACAGCACCACTGTGTACCCAGTTGGTACCCTGGGTGGCCAGTGGTTCTAAGCACAGGCCATGGGTTCAAATGCGGACGTGCCCACTGTCCACGGGCTGCCAGAGGATTTATCAGTCACTCCTGTCCAGGAAGAAGCTGGCGTCAGGGACTGGGGGCTTATCTCCCCCACCATGTGTGCCCAACGAGCAGGCAGGGAGGCTGGGTTCGGGCCACACCAGGGGCTGGTCTAGGGATGATAGGGACAGGTCTCACCTGGTGTGCAGCACACACCCAGAGCCCATCAGGTGCAGGCCAGATCTTCTTCACTCTTGGTCAAGTGTGGGCCCATTCCCAGGCCCACAGGAGGTCAGTAGGCTATGGGCTGTGCCACCGGAGATGATGATGGCTGGTGAGGGCCACGGGTAAAGTCCACTGCTAGAGGGAGGGTCCTGGGGAGCAGGCTGTCTGGCTAGATGGTGTGTGTGTGTGTGTGTGTGTGTGTGTGGCCAAGGGGACGGGGGTAGGGAGAAGCCAGCAGAGAGACTGGAAACAGTCTGCCGGAGAGACTGGGAGCGCTGCCTACCTGGCCTGGGCTCCCCAACAAGGCTTACCCTCCCAGCTGCACCCCACGGTGCTCCTGCCCCCAGTGGAACAAGGGGCTCCTTCCAGGAAAGGACACAGAGGTCCTCCTGTTACTGTCCCATGACCCAGAGGAGGACAGTAAAGCTTAGAAGGGAGGTGGCACATGTGGCAGTAGCGCCCCTGGGACCCTCTCCCTTGTTAGACTGTGGCTATCTCCGGGCCATCCACATGTGTTCATAGCCCTCTTCTGCACCAGAACCCCCTGATCCAGCTGCATGTGCAGCTGGCTGACTTTGGTAAGCCACTGTGCCCTCTCTGAGCTGGGTGTAGGACTGGCAGCAGTGAGCTGGGGTTCAGGGCCAGGGAGGCGGGGTGCCTTGGCCAGCCTGGCGCAGCAGGCCAGAGGCGGTGCGCGTGCTCAGGAAGGCTGGCTTGGCTCTGCGCAGGTAGCTCACACCCAAACCCGAATTCCAGCCGCCCAAGACGGCGGGCGGCGGAGGCCCAAGCTGTCCCAGGGCAGGAGTGCTTCCTTTCGTTTTTTTAAACAAACAAATCATGAATTTAAAAGTCAGGGCAGAGTACTACCCATGGTGTAAAAATAGCCATGGGCCACAAAGTCAATGTCCAAGTCGTCAGCAGCGCCTTTGAGGAGGGTTCTGGAGGTGTCAGGGCCAATATGGAGGTGCAGTGTGAGCCCCACTCTGGCTGCCCAGCCGGCCTGCGGGTCCCACAGTGGGTGAGGGACTGGGTGCCCTTCAGCGTGCAAGTGTGTGTGTGTGGGGTGGGCTGGGACGTCCAAAGCTGACCAGCTTCCCCGGAGTCTCCAGGTCACTGACGTCGGGGCTCAACACCCCTCTGGGCCTCAGTTTCCCCACGCGTCCGCCGGTTGCGCTGCCAGCGCTGGTCCGGCGCTCTCCGCAGGGCGTCTGCTGGGCCAGCCGGGATCCCCGCGCGGCCACGGCCGGCCTCTTTGTGTGGCCGCTGCAGACAATGGTCGTTGGGCTCCCGGCCCC